AAAAAAAAAAAAAAAAAAAAAAAAATTAAGAGTGTAGTGTCAACTCTTACCTGACTTTCCAGCCTGCCAGCTTACTACGGGCTTTAGACTTCATAGCTCCCATAATTGTCTGGGTCAATTACTTAAAATAAATCTCTTCAGATAGATGATTGATAGATGGATGGATAGACAGACAGACAGATATTCTATTGGTTCTGTTTCTCTGGAGAGAAAAGAAGACTTACCAGAGCTACTGTTATCTCTTATATTTTGTTTATCTCCTGTTACAGAATAAACTGCCCCCAAACTGATGGCTTAACAATGATTTCATAATCCCCCAGTTCTCTGAGCTACAGGGTTCAGCTGGGGACCTCTTAAGCGATAACTTTTGCACAGGTGCAGTCCAGTGGTAGCTGGAAGTGGAGTCACCTGAAAGCCAGCAGTTGGTGATGACTGCTTGCTGGAAATTCAGGCAGGACTGTCATCTAGAGCAGCCGTCCCCAAGCTTTTTGGCACCAGGGACCAGTTTCAATTCAAGGAAGATAGTTTTTCCACAGACAGCAGAAGGTAGGAGTTAGATTTTCATAAGGATGTGCAGCCTAGATCCCTCACAAGCACAGTTTACAGTAGGGTAGTGTGACCTGCAGAGAATAGAAGGTCACAAGACATGGGTTGGAGTCATTAACAACCTGCATGCCTTCATCATGCCATTGTACCCTCTTTCAACCCAGCTTTCTCATGTCTAAAATAGGAATCATAGTATTTTCTATCTCCTTGCCTGTAGTGGGAATCAGATGGGGTAACAGGCATGCAGATGTTCTGGAAAGTGTACAGTGCTCCACCAGCTTCAGGCTGGTGCCTTCTGATGTGGTTGGGACATTTTACTGTTGTAGAATGTGAAAGTTTGTGTTTCAAATGACTGAGGTATCACAGCAATAGTGACACAGCATCCTCCATTTCTTAATGTCTGTTCCTCTTTTTACACAAGAAAGAGGAATTGCTACACCCATTGTCATCAACACATCTAGTTGGCGTTTGAATCATTCATTGACAGAACTGACTATTTTAGGGGTGGTGGGAGAATGAATGACAGAGATAAAAATCTCATTGGCTATTTCTGCACTCTGTACCCCCAGTTCACCTGGGAAGTGACAAAGAGCATCCATTTATCCTCCAGCCACTGAGCACAGAGACTTACCAAAGTCCCCTTAGTCTGTGAATGAAGGCAGATTTCAGAGATGATTCTCCTATTATTTTTCCTGAGAGATTATTAGGAGCGTTTAGATGTTTAATGTTGACTCTTGATAGGGGGATGGCTAAGGCAAGTCAGTATTTCTGCTGAACCCAACCATGGCAGTGAAAAGGGTCCACACAGGAACATAGTATGTGAATCGAAAACCATTTATATTGAGTGTAAAGAGTCTTAAAAGGCGTACAGGCCGTATGAGCCCTTTCATCTATGGTGAAAAATAATCACAAAAATAATTGCTTCTGGGGCTTGAGGGAAGGCTGGAGACAGGAAGTGTTTAGAAGGGAAGCATACTGAGACCCATAATTTACTTTGAATTACCAAAACGCCAATAAAAATGGATTCATGACAGTCAATAAAGCAGACATAGTGAAAAGTTAACTGGAGAATCTAGCAAGTGAATATTCAAGGACTCGTCCAGTTTTTTCAACTTTTCCTGTACGTTGGGAAATTTTATATTTTAAAAAGATAATTTCAGAAAAATAATTAATATAACAAAAAGCACGAAGGGAACTCTGGTGTTTTTGGTGACACATTACTCGTGTCACCAAAAATTAAGTTACTTGCCAAAGGGAAACAGGAATTTATTTCATTGTAGCTACATTTACCTTTCCTCAAAAAGCTGGATGAAAGAGACGTTTAAAATTATAAACACGTAAGGATCTTGGAGTTTGCAGTATGTCACATGAATTGGTATCAAATTGTATGTATAATTAAGAATTACTTAGTGCCATGTTTTTAACTACACAGTATTTCTTTTTTTTCCCTTTTGCTAATCTCCATGAACCGTATTTTTTTAAATGGTGGGTTCTAAAATGCAAAAGAGTAAAGAGTAGGTGACAGAATTCAGTTAAGAAGACTCAACTATTTCAGTGATGTAAGTTAACTGATGGAAGAAGTATTATTCAAAGCCTCGACTTTGGGATGTGAATAATATCTTGATAATTCATACCTTGAGAATTATTGGCATTCAAGAAGATCAAATCTAAGATGATGGTGACAAATTAAGAGAATTGTATTTTTTCAAAAGGGCAAAATTCAGGAAAGTACAGAACCCAAAACTAGTAAGAATAAAAATGTGGAATGAGAAAGGACCAGTTCCAACGAAGCCAACCTGACTCAGCCCCATTGGTGAATATTCCCTCTCTCTTTTTTTCTATGATTGGCTCCAGTTTAGATACATATTTTTAAGTAATATGGAGAAATAAGTACAGATTTAAAGAGGAAAAAGATAACTAATGAAAAACTTACTTTCCCTCTAAGGAAAACTTGAGAGAAGAAGAAATTCTGTAAACGTTCAAGATGAAAGAGGTGAAAGTATTGCTTGATTACCATTTTCAATCACAGGGAGTATTTTTATAAGGAGAGTCTATGAAAATCTAACAAGGAAAATGGATTTATGTGAAGAGATAGTTCAGTTGTGCAAATAGAAGAATCTCTTGACTTTGAGGTTGGTTAAACCCTGGAATATTTATCAAGAGATGCTGTGGAGCCTATGTCTTTGGAGAATTCCATTAATGAAATATAAATTCGGAGTGGTTCTTGCTAGAGGTTGAGAACTAATTCAGATGACCCCTGAAAGCAGCTTCTTGGGTCTGCATTTTAATAACAATATTTCACTATGCAGTATTTGACATATAGCTGGTACTATTTATGCTTTGGGGGGCTGTCTGTGAGGGATGGCAACTTTAAATTCACTTCACTTAAAGATTGTATTAAATGATTCTCCTTTTCATTGGTCTTGCCTCATAACAAGTGATTCCAGACCGCATTTCTCTTCTTAACTCAGTTTCTGTGTTTTGTAAAATAACTACAATGGAGCCTCCATGTTTCACCACTTCCCTACACTGCCCACCTCCTTAAGTTGACCAGTCTTCATAGACCAGACATTCACCATATGTACATATCAGTACAGTCGGCCTAGGTCCTTATGTTGACCAGCTCTGTATGTTTACCAGTTTGTTACAGTCCTTGGGTGGTCAACTTACAGAGGTTCTAGTGTATCCTGTCATCTCACATTTTTCTATTTAATGTTTTAATAATGCTATTATTAGAAGGGTATTTTTATATTTAAAACCATCGTATTTTCATATTTTCTATTTGTGAGAACTTGATGAGTTACCATCCATCCTATCTTCCTTGGATAAGTGGGATAGAATGAGATGAAAATGTCATATGAATAATTTATCTTCTTCTAGAAAAGTCAACACGGCAAATTCTGGTGTCTCCATTGTAGTCTCTATTTTTGGCTCACTCATCTTCTTTCCCTTTGCAGAGCAAAACTTGCTTCCTGCTGTGATGCTGTTCAAAACTTTGTTGTTTCTCAAAATAATACTCCAGTTGGGACTAATATGAGTTACGAGGTGGAAAGTAAAAAAGAAATCCCAATTAGAGAGAATATCTTTCACATGTTCCCAGTGGTGAGTAAAGATTTGTTGTGGGTTATTTGTGTCACCGTTCTGGACGAATGCTCTCTCACTTTAAGCTGTAACTTACAATAATGAAGGAATTAATTAAAATACCATACAGTTATACCATATAAAATATGTACAGTGAGCCATTTCAAAAAGGCGGTTTTGAAATGCGGTGTGGTTCTGCAGAAAAGAAGGATATTTTTATCTTAAATGATGAGCTCTTCCAGCCTTAAGTCTTCTGGACTCTTCTTCACAGGAGATGTGGTTCATGAGCTTTCTGCAAAGTAATTGCCAGGGCTTGTGAAAATGGGCATTTTACCTCCAGGATAATATTCTTCTGCTTGTTGGTTTTGGTAGCTGAATCAATTCCTTCACAAAGAATGTTTATGTTGCTTCTCTTTGGGAAGTAAATATGTAAGCATTCGTGTTCCATAAACATAACTACCATAAAACAGGGATTTTTTCCCCTATGTTCATTAGCATATCCCAATCTCCTAGAACATTTCCCAGTGCATATATGCGTTCACTATATATTTGTTAAATAAACAAATGAGTGAGGACATGGTATAATACCTTTTGGCACAGTGAGAAGAAACTTGACCTTAGTACGAATCCAAACTTGAGGAAATTTTTATCATGAAGAAGGAAATTCCCATTGCTTAAGAATACACACTCTTAGTCCCTTTCCATGATTTGATTAAAATCAGTTAGACTAAGTCACTATGGCCAAAATAGGATCACATCAGGGGATAATGTAGTTTACCAATTGGAGGATATTGGATTGTTACCATTCTATTTTGTTGGGCCTTTGACTTCTTTCAATTTATTGTTGATCATATGAGTTGTTCCAATTTTTTATATTACAATTCAGAAGAAGAGTGATGTGTTCTCAACTAGCAGACATAATGTAAGAGTATTCCACTAGAACCCACTTTCTGGGTAAGGGACACAAATACAACTTGGACTCTACCTAACAAATGCAAACAATGTCACCTAATCGTCTGTACCCTCATAGTAAGCTGAAATAAAAAAAATTCAGAGTAAGAAGAATTTGCTGAGAATGAATGAGACATAAGTGAAAAATGGTAAGGAAAATACTGCAAATTTTCTGGGAGGAAAGGGGGATAAAAATAACTCCTAATGAATCCTGACAGTACATAGAAATTGCCAATAATTGAAAAGATAACAAAAGAATATTTCTGTTCCCTATCAGGGAAGACCTTGGAGAATCTGACAATGAGAAACTCTTTTACCAATGCAGTTTTTGCTCATATCTGCCTTGCTTCCTGCTGACCAGAACAGAGGAGTAGCAGCTATTTTGCTTCTCATTTGGTACTTTGAAAATTATATCTTAGCATAGGTTTGATAATTATGATGCACACAACAATTGCAACTGCTTTCCAAATTTATGCTGATTTTTTTTTGAAGTTGGGAAGAAGAAATTCTGCAGTGAACACAGTAACAACTGCAGAGTGAGGTCACTTTTTTGCATTGCTTCCAACTACACCTTCCATGGCTGGGTGGGGCTTGAGGTCTACTCTGCCCTTCAGCTTGGAGCTCCCTGGAACTACCTGGTTGGCACAGCAGATCTCGATTAATGCTGCTGATGAAACGGTGTGAAGTCACTTCCTCCAGAAACTTTTCTAAGTCACTTGAAAAGGAAAACAACAGAGCTAATTTTCAACCAGAGTGAGCCAGGAGCAGGCAGTGGAGCTGAACAAATTTGCATTTTCTTAGGAGGTTTATTTCAGGGAATGTTGAGGTTTGTAATTTATTTAAATCCTTACTGAACATGAGATACTGAAGCATATGGATGTTTTCCCTCAGTTGACCAAGAAACCAGAGAAAAACATTCATTATTTTGAGTGCATAATTTGAGATATGTTTCCCTCAGTAATCTTTTCTATTTTGTACCATGAAGAGCATATTTGCATTTTTGCATTCTACCCTATCTATAAAATTCAGAATTGATTGTGGAACCATTTAGTAGACACTGTCTGAAGACATCCTGAGCTAGAAGTTCAGTGACATGAACTAGTCCGTAATATCTGGGAACTATCCATTTAGGAGCCAGGCAGTCTCAGAGGCTTTGCAGTTTAATGAGAAATAAAAGTTGATGAAGTCAACATTTTAACTTACTTGGTGAGAATCTGTGCAGTGTGTTGTGGTTAAGAGTCTGTACTCTGGAGCAGACTGTCTGGATTCATATCCCATCTCTGTCACTTTTGAGCTCCTGCCTGAGCCCATGCCTCTCTATTTTCCCATCTGTAGAATGGTCAGTGGGCTGTTGTTTGGATTAAATGTGCTTGTAAGTTAAACACATGGAACAATGCCTCACACATAGCAAGCACAGTATGACTTTTAAGTTTGAAAGTCAAACCTACAAAGAGAGAAGGATTGAAAACAGAGTTCTCTTTGCTTACTGAGCATCTCCCAGATCGAGTCAGTACCAGTGGCAGATGGTAGTCATAGTGGTTCAGGAAAGTCTGCGGATACTCAGGGCTGTTCAGACCACATGGGCATGGGCTTTTGCCAGTGGTGCTGGTAAACTGCCTTTGGGAGGAGATATGCCTGGATTGTATAGGCTTTGCCAATTTCAGTGGTGTAAATATTCCCATCATGGACAATTTCAATTCACCATTGGTTTAACTACCAGATCACAAAATTCCTGAATATTTACCAGGTGGCTTTTGCAATCTGGGATAAGCCAGCTCCACTACACTGGGTACCCCAGGTGAGCCTTATTGAAAGCTGTACTCAATACATTGACTATGCTGGATCTGGAGGAAGAGATCAGCCTCTGAGAGATGAGAACAGCCTCTCTGTCTTGGAGAGTTTACACTGTAACCCTAGAGACATTGTCAGTGTATTGGGACCTTATAACTGTGCAACATGAGCTGCCAGCCTTGCTGTGGGCTCCAGGTCACATTATTACTTCAGGGAAGATGACCAGGAAAGGAAAAGTGCACTGATGAATTGAAAAGTTATGTTTCAGGCTGTGGAGAATTAGGGGAAAGTGGGAGAGCTTTTGGGGTAAGCAGGTTGGGCCCTAGGAAGAAATAAAGATTCAGGCCTTGGAAATTAATTTGAAATATATCAGTAGAGAGTTGCTAGGCCTCCCTGAAGCACCTTGGTCCGTCATTTGTGGAGATGGCAGGCATAAATCTAATATCATTACACTGCCTAAAGGTCTAATTATTTAAGAAGCACAGGGAATTTTTGCTAAATTACCTATTCATTTTGTGCCTTGGAATAGATTGAATGCTATTTTCTAATTTCTTTATTTTTTCTTTTTAGCTGAAAATTTCCTATTTATCATAAAGGCACAATGTGGAATTCTGCCATTGTCATTTTATGTACTTAATTATATTTTGTATACAAAGATATTTCCTATTATTATATTATGTGCATTATATGATGTCTATTCTCAAGAGAAATGAAATTTAGGCTCACATGATGACTTTTTATTAGAAGACATCATAAGCCGATAAGCATGTCACATGGCTGCTTGCTTTTTTTCTTACTCTTTTTCTTCTCAGCTTGTATAAAGACTGAAGATACTAGAATTAAGCGGATGTTTGTGGTTCTGACGTTAGCAGCTTTTCATGGTAGTTTTTCATTTTCTCCTGCTAGGCCCAGCCTTTCGTGGAGTACCCTTATAATCAGTGTGCAGTGGTTGGAAACGGGGGAATTCTGAATAAGTCTCTCTGTGGAGCTGAAATAGACAAATCTGACTTCGTTTTTAGGTAAGACTTATCAAGTTGGTTTCTTTGAAATAAAAGATTAAAAAAAATAGTTTGGTACTTTTTAGAGCAGCTGTACTGTACTCAACCTTTGGGACACCTGGCACTGATTTCATGGAAGACGATGATTTTTCCACGGACATGGATTCAGGGGGCGTTGGATCCTCCTAGGAAGCACGCAGTCGACATGTCTCCCATGTGCAGTTTACAGTAGGGTTTGTGCTCCTATGAGGCTCTAATGCCACTGCTGATGTGACAGGAGGCAGAGCTCAGGTAGTGAAGTGGGCAGTGGGCAATGGCTGTAATAGAGATGAAGCTTTACTAGCTCACCTACCATTCACCTCCTGCTGGGTGGCCTGGTTCCTAACAGACCACAGACCAGTACTGGTCTGCAGCACAAGGGTTGAGGACTACAGTTTTAGAGGGAGAGTCAAAAGATATCATGTCGAAATTTGGACCTTTGAGCTGTGTTGCTGAAGTCTACAGATTATCCACATTGGCTTTCTGGAAGTGTTAATGAGTTCTTCATAATGTAGATACCAAAAGGATAAAGACGTGCTGTGGTTGTGTATGTTTAGGAGTTTAGGAAACTCAGGGTGAAACAATGGTGAACGAGATCTTGTCAAAGCCTTCAATGTGTTAATTGGCCCCATGCCTCAGCACTCTGAGGGGCAACAGTTCCCAGACTCACCTGACCTTAAAGGCCATTTTTCTTATAGAGCATTTCAAGGATGTTTTGTTTGGGGGGTATTACTTGGAAAAGTGCCAACTAAAGTATTTTCTAGCCATCCAACATCATTATGTAGTTTTCTGGCTTGAAATTTTTTAAAAACTGTGAAGTTTCTAAATTCTGGTGTTTTAAAATATTTTCTGTGTCAATACCAGCTAGCTGGCAAAAATAGAGACAGAATGGTACTAACAACCCATGCCACAAAACATCTCTACTTTCAGAATATGATGGAAAGGTAACTTATCCATCTGAGGATGGTTTTCAGTTGCAGCACGTCTTTTTAAGTAGAAATCCGTTTCTTCCTGTTTTAGGAATGCTGATTTTATGTATCAGAGTTAATGTTTTGATCCCTGTTGATTGAGTGTTGCCCTTTTTAGCAAGTAAAAAAGAAAGATGATTTTAGCTCCCCTGGTTTTAAAGTTGTATGCTGAAGGTATTGATGGAGCAATAGGCCTGACAGCCCAACAATTATTGAATATTCATGTTCTTCATGATTAATGTTAAAATGGCCAGTATCTAAGTGGTTGAGCCATTTCGTTCAAGAACTCAGTGTGAACAGGCCATAATGAAGATAAATAATTCTTCTTGCAATAGACTTTTTATAGACTTAAAATTCCCAAAACATCTGTGATGAGGATTATGCCTGAACATTCATTTTACTTTATAGCAAGTATAGGAAATACAAATTTAGGTTCAAATACTAAAAATAAACAACCCCCCCAAAAAAAACCCTCAGCAGATATTTAATTTATAACTCTAAAATAAATGTGTATGTTTCTAGATTCTACATTTGCTGATACCAGGTATTTTTCTGAATATAGAATTCCCTTTGAAGCTAGTCATTTAAACTGAAAGGCAAAATGAAGGCTAGACATTGTTCGGGTCATTTAAAATTTAATTTTTAAGGCTGAAAATATTTTGGCTATGCATGTTGATAGTTTATAAAATAATCTGGAAGCTGATGTTTTTCATTTCAAAAGATTGGGAGGTATGAAATAAGTGGAGGAAGAAAACATAGGCGATGATTACACAGTTAATGATTATGCAGATAAAATAGTCACTATTTTAAGTGTCACACAAACTTTATGGCCACCCTTTACTATTGCTATATTATGACTATACTACTGTGTGTGTGTATATGTAAAAAAATACAGCATACTACTATTCTATGATACATATGGTATACCATGTATATGTATACATATAAGGTCTGACAGTAAAGTTCACAAACTTGCCCCCATGTGCTTGTGTTTGCAGCACTGTACAAATACCTCAGTAAGGTTTCAAAGCCTTGGTATGTCAGGGTCTCACAGCTGTGTTCCTGTGGATGTCTGACAATGTCTGGCTGAGTGGTTTTCATTATTGTTATTGGGTGCTTCTGTGTGCTGTTGTGAGCCTATCAGAGCTTGAGTTAGAGCAATGAACAAACATTTAATTTTGTTAAACTTGGAAAATGTGGAAGTGAAATCAGGGACTAATTGTTAGTCCAAGTTTATGGGGATAATTCTATGAAGAAAATGGCAATGGACAAATGGAAAAAATGTTTTCCTGAGGATAGAGAAAGGATCACTGATGAAGAGGAGTCAAGGTGGCCAGTAATGAGCAGAACTGATGAAAACATTGCAAAACTTCATCCATTGTTATATCAAAATCATCAATAACTGTGACTGTGAGACACATAGAAGAACAAGTAAATATGGATAGAGAAACATTTAGGAAAATCCTAACTGAAAATCTTAGCCAACAATTCATGGCTCTTGCATGACAACAGTGCACCAGCTTACACAGCACTTTCTGCAAGGGAGTTTTTAATGAGTAAATAAATGACTGTATTAGAACACCTTCTCTGCTCACCTGGTATGTCCTCCAATGACTTTTTTCTTTATCCAAAGATAAATTGAAAAAAAGGGATTTTGATAACATTAAGCACATCAAGGGTAATATGATGACAGCTTTGATGCCCATTCCAGAAAAGGGGTTCCAAAATTGCTTTGAAGGATGAACTAGACACTGACACTGGTGCATATAGAGGTCTTCAAAGGTTACCTCAGTACTATTCAACAATGGGATATGTAGCACTTTTCATAGCATGTATTCACAAATTAAATTGTCTGACCTCATGTAGCATACTGCTATACTATAGGACTGTTTCTGTATAGGTATACAAATAGATAAATACAATTATATATATATGTGTGTGTGTATATATACATATATACCCATGTATACACACATGCACATATACGCACATATACAGGTTGGCCATAAAGTTCACATGCAATTTAAAATTGCACACTATTTTAAAAATGCACATGAACTTTGTAGCCACCCTAGATAGTGTGCACACACCCACACACATAAAAAAAATCCTTCCTCTAGGAATCTCCTGTATACTATATCCGAAGTCACTGGTGATTCATCTGTCCAGTACAATATGAGATTGTACTAGAAAGTAGATTTGTTATAAGAAGCCCACTAGGAGGCCATATCTGTGGCTTAGTATGAATGACTAACATTTATTTCAACAGGGTGCCCTATTTATTTTCTGACTTTTTATATCGATGAGGGAAGTGCGTGTTTCGTTTATTTGTAAGTTTCATAAAGCATGCCATAGAATATTTCAAAGTCGTCATATTCAAGATGATGTCAACTTTAAACAGCCTCCCGTAGGAAGCACTCGAGGCCGTTCCCCTTTTCTGCTTAGCTTTACTACTTGAAATTCTATAAACGTTATTTAGGGAGCCATAACCAACTTTCCCTTTTTTGTGACTGGAATATAATTACTCAAACTTAGAATTCTTAATTCGTTTTCCAATTTAAAAACAAATTAGTACTCCAAGGAAGATGAGAACATTGGTGTGAAAACATTACTATATAAAGAACATTAAGGTTTTATTTATTAACACCATAATTTGATGGCAAAACGATCCATATGGGAATCGGAAGATTTTCATTTTTTAATGTAGTCTTTGCTTCTGGCAGGCTCTATAACTTTAGTCCCAATGCCTCAATTTTGGGGAAGTCTGTAAATTAGTGATTGCACCACTGTGGGAATATAATCAATATAAATAAGACTTTTAATAAAAAGGATCGGAAGAGCTTTAAAAGTTAGTCTAGGTATAATTGTCGTTTTTGGTTTTCATACTTACAGAGGTCATTATCAATGTTAAAAAGGCTTCGTCAAATTTGTTTACTTTTTACAAAGTCAGCTATAACTCAGTAGATATTAAATAATTATAAATGGAAATCAGATGGATTCTGAGAATCTCTTAACAGCAACTATTTTCTGTAGTGTAAGGACCATTATCATATGGACATATGTGTATATACTTTTTTTTTTCACAAGTTCTCTTTTGAAAATTGTTTTCCTTTCAAATTTCAGATGTAACCTCCCTCCAACCACAGGAGATGTTAGTAAAGATGTTGGAAGCAAAACAAACCTCGTTACTGTGAATCCCAGTATCATAACACTGAAGTAAGTATCAGCAAGTTACCTAACTGTTAGAGAACATTTCTCCACTGTTTAACATGTTTCTTAGTCTGAGGGTTAATCTTTTTGCTGAGACAGACCTGCAATACAGCTGGGATGGCATTTTGGGAAAATATATAAGAATACATTTGCAAATTTTGACATTCGATCAAGGTTGTGGTTCATTAGAGTGACAACTCGGTTGGACTTCTAATGTCATAAGCTAAATGTTTCAAGTCAAATAAGAACTTATTTCCTCATCTTTTTAAAAATAGCACAGTTGCCTTTTCCCATTTTCTTTCAGAGTTTTAGCATATCTCTTTTATCTTGGCAGTACTTTCTTGATGAACCTTAATGTACTTAGAAACTTCAGAGAGTTAGTTCTAGGACAACCTGGCAAAATGCAGTTGAATTGAATAGTTTAAAACGAATGACCATGTTTCACTTCTGCAATGAAATGACCGTAGAATCATTGGTTAGTTAATAAAAAAAAAATCCCACGTGTAGTTTTACTTTATTTTTTATCAAAAATGACTGATAAATATAATTAATAGATTAAGGCTCTTCAAATAGTTCTAGCATTGCTTGAGAGAAAATAAAATATTTACATGCATTCCGAAGCTTATTTTCTAAAAGCTTACAATCATCCTGAGAAGAACACTTACTAAGGTGTCATTTAAATCATATACGTGGAGAGAGCATAATGCAGACAAGAAATTTTAAAATACCAGTAGAACCTCCATAGTTATCCACTTCCTTAGACCACCTCCTTAAGTTGACCTAATTTTCGTTTTCCATAGACCGGACATGTACCACATATATGTATCAGCACAGTAGCCCTAGTTCCTTATGTTGACAAGTTTGTTACAGTCCCTTGGGTAGTCAACTTACAGATGTTCTACTCTGTGTGTGTGTATAAAGGGTTTCTAAAGGAAACTTCTACTTTATAATTAAATATGTCCAAAGGGTGTACAAATCACAAGTGTTCAGTTCAATGGCTTTTAAGAAAATCTATTGATATGTGTGCTATGCTAGAAAAAATATTTCATCATTATAAATTCAGAAGCTATTTCACTATCAACAAACAACTTTAGAAAATAATTACTGAGTTGGAAAATAAAATACTACAAGAAACTTCTGTCTGGTAAGAAAATAACGCAGTTTGAAGGAGTAGGGCGCTGGCCCCATATACTGGAGGTGGTGGGTTCAAACCAGGCCCTGGCCAAAAAAAAAAAAGAAGGTAGGAAGTGAACGCCCACGTATTCCATGAAAGACAGATGAAGCTCTAACCCTAAATATGGACATGATGCTTACTTGAGTGGTTTTCCCTGAGTGCATATTTATCTCTTTAATGTGCAGAATATTAATGGTTCAGTTTTTTGACCACTGGTAAATTCAACCTCCTGTTAACCAAAACTGCTTCTTTGATTAGTATTATTGTGATTATTATGACTTCTTAAAATTTGGCAGATATGGCAACTTAAAGGAAAAGAAAGCAGTATTCCTGGAGGACATTGCAACCTATGGAGACGCATTTCTTCTTCTGCCAGCATTTTCTTTCAGGGCCAACACTGGTACCTCCTTTAAAGTATATTACACACTGAGAGAGTCTAAGGCAAGACAGAAGGTTCTGTTTTTCCATCCCAAGTACCTGAAACATCTGGCCCTTTTCTGGAGAACTAAAGGTGTGACGGCGTACCGCTTGTCCACCGGCTTGATGATTACAAGTGTTGCCGTGGAGCTGTGTGAAAATGTGAAGCTGTATGGATTTTGGCCCTTCTCTAAAACTGTAGAAGATACACCGGTCAGCCATCACTACTATGACAACACCTTGCCTAAACGCGGTTTCCATCAGATGCCCAAAGAATACAGCCAGATCCTCCAGCTGCATGTGAAAGGAATCCTCAAACTGCAATTTAGCAAATGTGAAATAGCTTAAACAAAATGTCTTAAAATGGGAATCATTTTAATATAACATGGTAGGTAGCAGTGCCTCCAAATACTAAAGGATTTGGTAATAGAGTTTTACAGGAAAAGCCTCCAAATTTTTTTTTTGGCCAAAGTTCCCCACTAACTTTGCAAGTTCGGCAAGTCATTCAATCATTCTCATCTTCAGTTTCTTTCCCTGTAAAGTGGAGACCATCATATTTGACTCATGCAATTAAAATGTGATTAAATTATAAAAACTCTTGGCATAACATTTGGTGTGAGGTAGGGATTCAATGAAATTTTGTTGTTGTTGTTGCTATTTATAATGGCTATTTCAGCCCTCACCAGACTGCTAATAAAAGGCATGTTATCTTGGCTACCTTTACTGAAGAGAACGGCTAATTTGGGGGCAATTGTTGAGTTTCTGTCTCTGGCAGATTATTCTTTATTGATACTATCCTTCCCATTTCTCTTTATGTCTTAAAGAGTGCATACAAGAAAATTGTGTATGTAAATAAGAAATCCTTGATCATTCCAGAATGAAATTCTTCTTTGTGCACTTGTGATATTATTTGCAATGACATGCCGGTTGGATTTCAGCTGCTGCTTTTTCTCCTTTATCTACAATTTTTTCATTGCTTTTTATAATTTTATATTAATGCTGCTCCTCATTCTTAGACCTTTTTCCTCTCCCACTAATAGGGTATACTTTCAGGATATAGTTACAATAACACCCACTCTTTCTTACATGTTGTCTTGTGTATGGGTTACTCCGTCAATATATTCTTTTAACAAATTATTGAATAATTTACTTAATGTCAAGTCCTGTACCACAATATGTGAGAAAGATATAAAGATGATAACTACCTCTAGCAGAAGGAAGCATATTTAACTTAAGCAATTATAATTTCCTGGTCAGTGTACTTATAATAGAATGTTATAAGTGTTAAAATGATAAAAGTTATAAATAAAGTATTAGGAGGAACAGAAGCAGAGATAATTAAATCTATTTCAAATACAGTTGTGTCTCCTTATCCTCCAGGGACATGTTCCAAGACCCACAGGGGATCCCTAAAACCATGGGTGGTACTGAACCCTGTAGAGACTGTTTTGTTCTGGACATAATACCTATAATGTTTAATTTATAAATTAGGCACAATAAGAGGTTAACAACAATAACTAATAATAAAATAGGACAATTGTAACAATATACCTTAATGAAATTATATGAATATGGTTTCTCTCTCTAAATACTGTAGTATTTTCAGACTGTGGTTGACCATAGGTAACTGAAACCACAGAAAATGAAGCCACTGATAAGAACAGAGTACCGTATCTCTTTCAGAGAAAAGGTGATTTTCAAATTACAGCTAGAAAATGCATTTGTATTGAGTAAATGAAGAAGACTGTAGGTAAAGGGGAGACAATAGGAGAAAAGGCTGCCTCTTGATTTTGATGTATCAAAATGAGGTCATTTGAAGGTAGACCATGGTTTTTGTCCCAATGGCTGCCACATGAGGGCAGGATATGGAACATGGAGGTGGTGGGTTGGGCCTACATCTTTGAAGTGGGAATAGCTGACCTGATCCATTTCATAGACCAGCTATAAATATAAGGCACTCCATAACTTAATTTCCCCTGTTTGCAAAATTGCAGGGTGGTTTTGGCCTGGGTCTGGTTGCCTGTGCCGGCACAGAATAGCAAATTGCTGAGACAACAAGGATTGTCAGGGAAGAAAGGAAATTTTAATAGGAAAGACATCTTCTTCAGGGAGTGAGAGAAGCAATTTTAAATCCATCTCTCCAACTAAGGGAAGCCTTTTGAGGATGGACATTAACAAAGGGTCTACCAGCTGGGGTGGGTTGTGGTGCAATTGACAAGGGCTGTGTGCATTGGGGCGAGTAATGGCAAATGGGAAGTCTGGGCAGGGGCTTTAGTATCCCAACTCCTTTCTCTTTCAGAAATGCCACCATTTCTGAGAAACAACTCAAAAAGTCAAATAGTTCGAAGTTACAGGGTCATCAACAATGACTAATAAAAAGACAATTATAACAATATACCACAGTAAAAATTATACCCTTATGGTCTCTCTCAAGATACTGTAATATTTTCAGACTGTGGTTGACTACAAATAACTGAAATCATGGAAAATGAAACCTCCTGGCCTGAGAAACCAAAACATAGAAGGGAGAAAAAAGAAAAACAGATTCCATTTAAATTTATTCGTAGAGTCAGTTCCTTCACAGGGAAAGATATATGCTTACATGAGGAATAAAACTCATTGATTTAGACTTCAATACAAAATAAATTTGAGTAGATACTGCATATCACCATTTTCCACTCCTCCCTATGTTATGATGATACCTGTTATTATAGGTAGCCCCTCTGTCTACTGAATAAGTTACTTAAGTAATTTTAATTTCCTGGTCAGTGCACCGTCCCAAGAAGACTAGAAATAAAAGTGTAGCAGACCAGCTCAGCACACCAAAATAATAATCTTACCTGAGCCCGATTATTGTTTTATTAACTGCTCACTGTGCTATAAAACGTTCATTTTGGTAAAGTATGTCTTTACTTTGTAGTTAACATTCATGATGATATTTTTGGTTCCTGTGTTCCTTTGTTCTTTATGGCAGATGAAATTCATTAACTTCATAAATTGCTTGAAAGTTTGTACATAAATTTTTTCTGAAAGGAAAATGCTTTTTGTAACAAAGTCTAATTTATTGATTATCTTTCTCTTGGTGGTGAATAGGTGGCTTTTTTCTATTGGTCCTAATGGGTTTGATTTGTCTTAAATAATCTGTAGCCAGGATTGGGAATGTTTCAAGCACACTATTAGCAATGAATTATTAAAAACAGATCAGTGTTTTATAGTCAGTAAAATGTCTTCCTCAGAATGTTTTATGGCAGGTAGAAATTTAAGCAACTCCTTTCTAATCATCCTGGAAATATATGATTGATGAGTAAAAGTAATGGCGTCTACTGAAATAAATAATTAAATATACAATGCGGAGACCTTATGTTATTTTAATAAAAATTACTTTAGATTAGGACATTTAGAGCTTACTTAAGTTTTTCCCATCGAATATCCTATTATAACTTAGGAAATTTTCTCTAGAATATCAAAACATTTATCTCCAGGGTCACTGATAGGAGTTTCAGAAATATTCAAAATGGTCTGAGAACAAGGGACAGAATGATTGATACTCATGTTCTGGCAAAAGTTGTTAACTAAAAAAAAACTTGAATTAATGAACTCGATACATTGGAAAGAGGAGAGCTTTATTTTTTATAAAGGGTAGCAGGCTATTGGGCAGCTATTCCAACAGGTTGGGAAGCAGAGGCCCCCAGAAGCCAGGCACCAGAGTTTCCAAAAAGACACAGTAGGCAACGGGATATACCAACTTAGTGGTCAAATGTATATATTCAACAAGCTAAAGGCAGATTCGTGAATATTTATAAAGGGAAGTCAGATACATGTAATTGTGCTTTATGTCTCCCATCTCATCAGGGCTGGGAACTCAGTTGTAAGGTATTTCTTGGCCAAGAGGGGTCCATTCACTTAGCAGAAGGCTTTCAGATTTTATTTTTAATTATATTTTATATTTTACTTATTTATTATATTCTAATTATATGTTTATTCATTCATGAAGTTCAGTAGAAAAAAATGTATAGTTCTTTTTTTTATTTTTTTGCAGTTTTTAGCCGGGGCTAGGTTTGAACCCACCACCTCTGGCATATGGGGCCGGCACCCTACTCCTTTGAGCCACGGGCACTGCCCCACATGTATAGTTCTTTTGTGGAGAAAACAGCACACCTTTCCACACGCACACATCTGAACCTTTTGTCTTATTGAACATTTGTGTTGCTACCCTAACAGCGTGTTTGGAAATTTTACAACAATCCTACCTACATTTATATTAGCCAGAAGTCTTTGATTAAAAAGGTACCCAGAGGTTTCCTGAGAGTCAGACTTTGTGATTAATCCCAAAGTCCCAGTCAGACTTTGGTGATTAATCTACAAATCCACGAAATGGAGTTGATCATTTTTGTTTTAATCTTGCTGAAAAAAAAAAAAAACTTTCAATAATTCACCATTACAGAAGAAAAGAATTAGTGCCTATGTTTTATAATTTACAGAGCTAGTATGCTGTATTGCCAAAATTCATGTTTTAGTGTATTTTATGCTGTGTGTATCACAAAGGACATGTGCTTTATTTGCCTATTTCCCAAGTGAGTCTGTGGTTGTTGTGATTTCGCAAAAAAATGGGTTGTCAGCCATTATTTGAAGGTCTCCACACTCTCTCTAATGTAGCAGGTGTGCTGTGGAGAACTAAAGGAAGTGAACTAGGTCACATCACACTTCTGTCCCAGTAGAGCATGACCTTCTCCACGTCCCCTCATGACGTACCAGTCATGCCCTTTTGTTGCAAAACGTAACATTACTTTAGAACTTTCTAAAATAGGATAAAACATGAATTTTGACATTACAGCGTATCAGCTGTGTATACTGTAAAACATAAGTTACAGTTCTTCTGGTTCCGTAATGGTGAATTATCTCAAAACTCCCACCAAGATCAATACAACAGCCACAACGAAAATACCTGTGAACTTCATTTTGTAGATCTATAGAGCAACCACCACAAAATATGACTGTGACACAATCAAGAAATCTCTGTGTATGATGAGCATTACTTAAATGTTAGATGAATTGATTTTGACCTTCTACTCTTAAAGTCCAAGTACATCTGTGTGCATTAAAAATGGGAAACCTGAGTATCGGTGCTAGACAATTGTAACCCTTTAGTTGGGATTCTAGCTCATAATGCCACACACTGCCAGTTTTTAAGAGAAATAATAGTCTGCATGGTTCTATTTTCTACTTGTTGTTAGGTATCACTGGGCAACTATCAGAGTAACAAGATTCCAGAATAGTTTTCAGCCACATCAAGGGTAAGGCAGAAATAATTATTAAGTTCACAGTCCATAATGCTGCTGTACGGTACCCAGTAAGGACTCCAGAAACAGTTGCATAGAGTTAATTTTTGCACAGTGTAATAGTCTTTGAAGTGTTGGGTGTTTTTTCCCTTGAACAAAAGGGCAATGACAAATACATCAAGACTTTCACGAAAGAAGATTTTCCTCCGCA